GATTTGCCTCAATACCACGATGAGTCAATAGGAAACCGAGGAATTTTCCTGCTTGGACGCTAAAAGAGCACTTTGCGGGGTTCAATTTGAGCTGGTAGCGTGCTAGAGTGTTAAACGATTCTTGCAAGTCGGAAAAATGTTGACACACGCTAGGCGACTTGACGACCATGTCGTCGACGTATGCCTCCACATTCCTTCCTATCTGATCGGCCAACACCTTGTCCATAAGCCTCTGGTATGTCGCCCCCACGTTCTTCAAACCGAAAGGCATGACCTTGTAATAGTAGGTAGCTTGGTCGGTTATGAACGCTGTTTTATCTTCATCGGCGGAGTGCATCCTGATCTGATTGTACCCCGAGTATGCATCCATGAAGCTCAATAATTCATACCTTGATGCGTTGTCGACTAGGCAATCTATGTTGGGCAGCGGGTATGAATCTTTTGGACAAGCTTTGTTTAGGTCAGTGAAATCCGTGCACATCCTCCAGTTTCCATTGCTCTTTCGTACCATTACCACGTTCGCTAGCCACGTCGGGTACTGGATTTCCCAAATGTGACCAGCCACCAACAACTTCTTCTTCTCCTCAGCTATGGCTTTCTTCTTATCCTCTCCAAACTTTCGTCGTTTTTGAATCACCGGCTTCGCATTGGGGTCGACCATGAGACGATGACATAGGAAGTCGGGATCAATACCAGGCATGTCGTCGGCACTCCATGCGAAAGCCGATACGTTGCTCTTCAACACAGTGAGCAACCCTTCCTCGTCTTCTTTAGCCAAAGATATACCAATCTTGACCGTTTTGCCTTCGGCCAGGCTAACTTCCTTCACATCCTCCACCGGGGCTGGTCGGGAATCGAAGTGAATCATCCTCAGATCTAACTCGATCGATTGAACACCTCGATCAACCTACGTCACATATAGGTGTCTCCTAGCCCTCAAACTATCCTCATAGCATTTCCTCGCGACTTCTTGATCGACACAGAGGACCCCGACCTTTCTGCTAGGCAAAGGATACTTCAGCTTCAAGTGAGGTGTGGAGACGACTGCTCCCAACTTGTTCAGTGTGGGTCGGCCAACTAATATGCTGTAGGACGACTGGGCGTTCACCACCAGGTATCGGACAGTGATAGTCTTCATGTTGTCTCCCTTGCCAAAGGTTGTCTCCAAGTCGGTGTAACCCCTGGCCGTTACCTGATCACCCGCAAAACCAACTAATGTACCTACATATGGCATAAGACGATCAGTCGGAATTTTCATCCCGAAAAAAGCCTCCCAAAACATTATGTCTGCCGAGCTGCCTTGATCCACCAACACTCATTTCACATTGTAACCCATGACTATCGCCGAGACGACAATAGGGTCGTCCTCATGGGGGGACACACCCTCAAAGTCGGCGTCCGAGAACGTGATGGCTGGCCGAGCGGGCCTCGCCCACTTTGAGACCGATAACACCGACCGAGAGTATCTCTTCCGTGCTGCTGATGTTGGGCCTCCTCCAGCGAATCCCCCCGCTATGGTGTTGAAGTCTCCATGGAAAGCTTGCTGGTGAGTCTCTGTACTTTTTTCCGGAAGATCTCTCGAGGGAGACCTCCCTTCACGCCTTCCTCTTCTCGTGTCTTCTCCTTTACGCCTACGTCGCCTGTCGGACGAGCCCTCCTCCTTCTTCCCTGCAATGAACTTTTTCAAACGTCCCTCCTCGATAAGGCCCAGTCGGTTTTGTAGGGTCCCAACTGACGGTCAGTCGCCGCTGGGAACTCGAAAAGTGACGCGCTGTTGACGTCATGCAGTATGTGCCGCCTGGGAACGTCGAGTGGAGTAAACTTCTCTTCTTCCTTGTTGCGTATCCACTCGCCCCTTGGCCGACCAACATGATCGGCCTACCGGTAGTTGCCCTCTCTCGTGTTGTAATGATCACGTCTTTTACTCCAATCCGATCGTGGTCGGAGATGCTTGTTGCCCTCCTTATTGTTGCCTCCTGCTTCTTGGCTTTTCGCTGCTCTCTTGCTAATCTGCCCTTCCTCCGTCTTAATGTGACTCAACGCGAAGGCTCTCACCTCCGACATCGTCTGGCAATTTTCTCTTTCCAGGGCGATGTCGAAAGCTCCAGACCTCAGGCCCTTCTGGAATACGATGACAGCCATCCTTTCATCCAACGATGCTATCCTTAGGGCGACCTCGTTGAACCTTTGTAGGAAATCTTCAGGGACTCCTCACGCTGCTATTTGAGGTCGAACAGGTTCGATGTGATTGGCGGTTTCTTCTTGTTAGCAGCGAACTGTGCCATAAAAAGCCGACTGAAAACGTCAAAGTCGGTGATTGATCAGTCAGGGAGACCACTAAACCAATCGAGTGTTGCCTTTTTGAGTGTGCCCATGAATAGTTTGCAGCGGACTTCCATGCTCCCTCCGCAAATCAACATCTGAGGTGGGCGCCAAAATGTTCCGGCCAAAAGGTGCACTAGGGTTTTTTCCTAGATCCTGCCTCAAAGCTAGAGCATTCAAAAAGTGTAATCTGCCTACCTAGCCTTAGGGTTTTAGATTTTATACTTCCTTGTTCCTGGGCTTCATGGGCCCCGTGAAATGTGGGATCTTCTTAACCGTCGTCCTTTTGAAGATATTTGACGAACGTGAGAATTGTAGATAAAGTCTTAAACGGAATTTCCATGCCGAGGGGCTAGTCGGATTATGGCCGAGGGGGTCCTATTAGCTTGAGGTGTCGGCCGAGAGGGTCCTCTCGGCTTGAGGTGTCTGGATGGGGCCGAGTTGATTCATGCCGAAGTGATACTCTAGTCGGATTATGGCCGAGGGGGTCCTATTAGCTTGAGGTGTCGGCCGAGAGGGTCTTCTCGGCTTGAGGTGTCGGGATGGGGCCGAACTGATTCATGCCGAAGTGATACTCGGGCATTAACCGAGTGACCCATCAAGAGGGGGATCAATCGGGATCATAGTCGGCCTATCACCAGGGAGGGTGTGAGGTCGTGCTTCGACCGGGACTACACTCCATCAAAGGAAATCAGTCGGAGATTTGCCGAGACGGTACAGTAGCCATTGGCAATTTTTTTTAAGAAAAAAAAGAAAAATATCACTATAAATATTCATCAACTCAATTAAAAAATTTGGACCTCTTTAACTCTCTTCTACTTCTTTTATCTTGCTTGTTTTGCTCTCAAAAATGGATCCTAACCAATACAATCATCAAAAAATTTTAAATTCTTTCTAAAACCAACCACCAACGACAAATGCAAATTCTCAAATTTCTCTGCAATATGTTATGTATCCACTATCTTATTTTAGTGAAAATTCTCAAAATCCACTACCTTATTGGTCAGCACCACAATATTATATGTTTCCAACACATCCACCTAGTGGTGATAATTCTCAAGGACCACAATTTTTTAGTCAACCACCACCTCTCACCAACCCAAATGCATGTTATAGGCCTTCTCCTCTACACAATATTGACACTCCTAATAGTGAACCTGAATCACCAATTAGTCTGGATGGAATTAAACTAGATGGAAGTGCAGAAAATTCGTCAACAAAAAAATTTCTGTTCCATTCACAGTTCAAGAAGATATTATTCTCGTGAGGTCATGGGTCACTACGTCGAAGGATCCAATCATAGGAGTTGATCAAACGTTACGACAATGTTGGTCGAGAATCACAGAAGCATACAACAACAATGAAGACCGTGGCGAGTTCACAGAGAGAGAATCGACTCAACTAAAAGCACGTTGGAATCGAATTCATCCTGCAGTTCAAAAATTTATTGGTTGCTACAAATAAGCAATTAGTCAAAAGAAAAGTGGGAGTTCGGAGAAAGATGTCATGGCATTCGCACATAAGATTTACACTCAAGATACAGGTAAAAAATTTGATATGGAGCATGCGTGGGTCATTTTGAGAGATGAACCTAAATGGCAATCTCTGATTTCGTGCAACACAATTCAAAAAGAGGGAAGGTAACGTCTGCAGGTGGTTACTCTTCGTCTTCCAACACAGAGACACCTATTGAACTTGATGAATATGAGATACCAACGCCAACACCCTGTCCGATAGGACAAAAGGCAGCCAAAAGGAAGGCCAAAGGAAAAGAAACTCAATACTAATACTATTGATTTTTCTGGCATAGAAAATGCAATAAAGGAGAAAAATGCCTATGCATCAAGACTAATTGAGTTGAAGGAGGCACAAGAAAGACGTTTGGCATATGAAACCATAATGAAGGTTACTTCCAACATGAATGAGACTCAACGTGAGGCTCATGAGAAGTATTGTAACTATCTTAAACAACAATATGGGTTTTAATTTCTTTTAGGGTTTAGGGAAGTATTTGAGTTTTAATTTCTTTTATTATTGTAATTCAAATTTTGTTGTTATGAAATTAGTCGTTATAAAATTAGCCGTTGTAAAACTAGCCGTTGTAAAACTAGCCATTATAAAATTAGCTGTTGTAAAACTAGCCGTTGTAAAACTAGCTTTATAAAACTAGTCGTTGTAAAACTAGCCGTTATAAAACTAGTTGTTATAAAACTAGCCGTTGTAAAACTATTTATATGTAGACTTTGTCATCCAATCCTACTCATTCTCACATCTTCTCACACAAAATCCCCATCTATTCTTCTTCAATTTTTAGATTGATACGTGATGGATCGAAACAACAATTTAGCTGATTCAAACATCAATTTAGATGATCTTTTGGATCAATTCATAGATGAGGAACTACACGACAACACCGACGAAGAATTGATCCAGTTGACGAAGAATTAGTCGTTAATAAAAATTTTAATTTGGTTCATAAATGATTTGAAAATATATTTTAAAAGTTGAATTTCTGAAAGTTTCTTACCATTGGAGTAAATTTCTGTTTGAGTTGCTTAATGCTGACATGACACATTGAGAACCACTTTTCTCATTTTTCAATGTATGAAGTAACTCAAATGAGTTGATTCCATTAGAGATACCGTGAGATGCATCAAGAAAACACATGACCGAGAAGAAGAACGAGTGTATATATACCGAAAAGTCCAAAACACTTTCAAAATGAAAATAACGAATTGAATAGTAGTTTAGTGACATCAACATTTTTTTGCTTCGGTGCAAATAGCAATAAGATGTAACATTAAAAGTGCATGACCCGTGGAGCGAACCTGATGAGCCTCGTCAAGGAAGTGGGTAAGAATTTCCTCGCAAAAAGAAAACAAACATTTTTTTGATTTCCATTATAGTCACACATTTGGTTCCGTAAATTCTCCAAGAAGTCGACAGTAACCTCTGGTCTCACATACTTAGCTGGGTGTAGCCCTCCCTTTGACCAGTCAACCCAAGTCAAACTTCTATTCGAATTCTTCTCCCAAAACATGATGCTAACAAACGTGGGCAAGTAGTGTTCATCAGCATAACATGAAAATTTGCAGTACTCTTGAAACACTGGGAAGTAGGTTTTGTCTGACACAACTTCTAGAGCAAGGTCTCTGTCCATTTCAAACCACTGAGACCCTTTTCTCCATTGTTCGAGAGTGATCATTGGGGACATGTGGACGTTGTAACGTCCACGTCCAACAGGAGTATCCTCGTCATAAGCCATTACATAGCTTTGGGTGGAGTGAATAAGATAAGTGTAGATTGTTGAGAAGTTGAACAAAGGGATGCATGATTCTGATATGAGAACAAAGCGTTGGTTTGACAAATCAAGAAGCGCGTTGCCCAGAAGCCGACGCTCTGCCTCAATCATGTTGAATTTCCCCCATTCCACTATCTGCATTACATTTCCCACGTCAACATTAATGCTACACCAGATCTCTATTCAAAAATATAAATAAAATAAGTGAGCAGTTTTTTTTTTTTTTTTTCTTCTTTCTTTTAAGTGGCCAATTAATTTATATATACATATCTATACTAAGGAGGCATTTGTTTCCGGATTTTATATTGCATTTCTAGGAGTCATATTTTTCCTAATATGTAAAGGAAATTTTTTTTTTGATAATAACTTTTATCTTCACATTTATATATTATTATACTTTTTATTGTTAAAAATAAAATAAAAAATTAATAATTTTTTAATAACTATCATTCTCTTTTAATAATTATTTATCTATTATTTTTATTACTTAGTTAATTGTTTTTATTACTTAATAATCATAATTTTTATTTTTTTTATTTTTTTAAATAAAATATAGAAATACGAAGTATTTCAATTTAACTAATATTATAAAAGATATATACTTTTTATTCACTACTTTAATTTTTTTTAATTAATTTTCATTTTTTTTATACTTTACGATAACTAACTAATTAAAGACCACTACTTTTCTGTACAAAGTCATTTATTTTTTTCTACACAAAATATGTATGGAGACACTTACTAATAACAAAAAGGAATACTACTCCTTGGTGTTAAGGTTTTGTTTTCCAATTCTTTCATTTAATTTACTATCATAACAAAAAAACCGCAAATGACTAAAACAAACCTGCTTATTAAATAATTGTTAAAAAATAAATTATTATTTTCTTCAAGGCATGTAGTGTCCTATATCTTTAATAAATAAAATATTGATTTATTTATTAATAAAATGAGCAGTTAATTTTTTTCGTGTAAACATTTTTTTTTTATTTTATCTTTAATAAATATATTGATTGCAAAATATTGAAATATGATTAGAGAAATAAATGTTCAAAAAAAAGTGGTTTTGGTATTTTCTTTATATATTGAAACGATTAGATGGGATTATAAATCTACAACCCATTTTATAAATTTAAAATTTTAAACAACTATACCGTAATCAAACGTAAATTAAGAAACTAATTTACTAATTAAACTATCTAACAAAATTAAATTTTAGATCCTCGTTTCATTGCATTTTCTATTGTTTGATGCAATCTATTTTTAAAGGCCAATAAATTATATATTATATAAATTATAAATATAATTTATATATTCAGATATAATATTTATTTGGATATATAATTTATTATTATAAATTTTAGTTATATATAATAAATATTTAACATATGCTATAGATATAATAAAATGCTACTATAAAAAAAGTCAAAAAAGTTTAATAATTTTTTAATAACTATCATTCTCTTTTAATAATTATTTATCTATTATTTTTATTAATTAATCAATTTTTTTTATTACTTAATAATCTTAATTTTTATTTTATTTTTAATTTTTTAAATAAAATATAGAGATACGATGTATTTCAATTTAACTAATATTATAAAAGATATATAATTTTTATTCACTACTTTAATTTCTTTTAATTAATTTTCATTTTAAAACATAATTAAACAAAAATAATAATTTATGTTAACTAAAATTTTGTTATCATCATCTAATTTCATTTAAAAAATAATTTATTTTCTTAAATTATCATTCACTTATTAAAATAAAAAAAAAATTATTAAAAATAAAATTTCAATTAAATGAAATGGTATTTTAAGACGGTGTCATTATGTAAAGAAAACATTTTTGTGATTACTTATATTTGAGACCAACATAGATGATTTTTTTCATTTTGATAAAAAAAATATTCAGGAAAAATAAAATAAAATCTATTTTGTCAAAATTAATAAAGTAGTTAAATTAGTTAATTTTAATTAATATTCTCATAAATTTAAATTCATTATAAAAATATCCATATAACTAAGTATTTTTAGTAGTGGTTATTTAATTATGTTGCTCGTAATTTAGAAAATATTTTTTTTCAAACCTTAATTAAATGTTATATATGGTTGAAACACGATGAATGTATCCACTTTTATAAGAAAAAAAATAATTAAATTTCTCGTTAATAGATTTCAAAATAAATTAAAAATAAAAAATGCATCAATAATTAATACATTTAAAAGTGAATCTACGTTATCAAAAATTTCACGGAGACTTGTTAGCATAACAGATGGTTATTGTCAAAAATAATTTTATGCCCTTACCAAGTATTGTGAATGAATTATATATTAGCCAGATCTAGACTTAAGGTACTTGTATTTTGTTTTTTTAATAACAATCGGAGTTTCACCCTATATTAACCTTCATTATTTGAACATTTGAATTTGTGAACTGAAATAATTGCGATTGTAAAAGAATCTAAGAAAGTACATGTAAGTTCTGTCTGAAAAATTATGTTTCCCTCAGCTTAATTAGTTCTGTTTTAATTTATTCTCCCTCTTAATTGGATTTACTTGATTGAATGCAAGTTTTGCATTCAAAGGAGAACATTTTAGCTTCATTTTCATTATAATTAGGTTTGGTCCGGAGATTTAGGGTTTAGTAGTCTAGTGATAGGTCTTGAAATAGAATATACGATATCTTAGATTCGAATGTGATCATTATAATTACGATAGATTAAGAAAAAAATTGAAGGTGAAATAGTAATTGTAGAATAAAGAACTGACCTTACTAGGAATTCTCCTGCCATGAAACACTGAACTCTCAGGGTCTGATCCATCATAAGAAGGATTCGAATGCACGTAGATGGAGTAGTACCCTTCATGCCCTGCAAAGAACATTTCCCAAAAGGGAGCCAAAGGCACAGGACCCCTCACCAAGAACATGAAAGCCACCTTGGGGACTCGATCAAAAGGGTATTCACGGATCTTAGGGGTCATTGAAGCTCTCCACAACAGTTCTTCATCACTCATATCATGCACAACATTTGAAGGCTTAATATACTCCTTCAACCCCACTTGACTCGTGAGGTTAGAATCGGATACTTCTTTTGGTTTTTCATTTGGCAGTGGGAGCATTGGTGGTGGCGCATTTTCTGATGAAGAGCGTGAGAATTGATTGAACTGTAGACTAAAGCTGCAGCTTTTAAGATAGAAACTGATGATGATTCCAATGGTTACACCAAAGGCTAAAAGGAGGAAATAGATTAGGAAACGAGCAAGCTGGAGATGAAAAGGCTTTGAACCAGAATTCGATGTATGTTGATTATTTGACCCCTTCATTTTTCAAACCTGAAAAGAGTTATTAAAAACTTGAATTTTAACTATAAAAAAATGATTGTGCCAAAATTACACAGTCAAATAATGATATAATATTTCTTATTAAAAATTATTTTTATAATAATTATATTATCATATTTGATAAGAAATGTAGGTATAAATTATAATAATCATAATATTTATTATTAAATCATATTTAAAATTAATATTAAAATTGTATGTAAGTATATGTCAAATAAATTTATATTTACATATATTATATATAAATGAACACTTTTTGTATATTATCATATATAACATTTTTTTTATAAAAAAAAAAAAAAAAAAAACTAAGTTTAATGGTTTTCTTGTCAACAGGTACCAAAGTGGATACGTTTATGGAACCATATTCAGCACCATGCTTATCTTCTAATCAAAATTTGTAAATAGTCACTACATTCGTCAACAAAAAGGTAAGTGGAATAAAAGATCACCAAAACTAATACCGACCCAAAATATTAGATAAATACTTGAAAGTGTGTTAGAAAGTTTCTCTTTTGTTTTCTATTACAAGAAAAAAAAATTTAAATATAAATAAATTTTAACTATTTTTTCTTATTTAATAATACTATTTTCAAAACATCTCTTTTAATATATCATTTTTTCCGTTGCACTATTTCTTTTAATATTTATAATAAGAACAGTTTAAAAATATATATATTATAGGATAATTTGTCACTAAAAACCGTTATCAACAAAAGGTCAATGAAATAAAAGATGATCATCGAAAGTATTAGATACTTGAAAGTGTGTGTGAGAGAGATTGAAAGATATGTAATAGTTATAGATGAAGAGAGATTAACCGTGCCTTGTATGGTTTAAATGTATGCTCAAGTGGCTGCGAAAGCCATGAGTTGGTGGCTTTGAGAACTTACTGGAATTGATAAGAATCCCTTTATCTCTATCTTTTTTGTTTTTCTCTTCAGTCCCTTCTTTATAATTTTATAAGGCTTTCTTAAAACTCTCAACTGCAGAAGGGGTTAATGTTTTGTTAAAAATGAAACCAAACCATTAAATATTACACACTTCTAACAGGAACATGGAAACAGCGCAGTATTGTGTTGGAACTTAAGCAAACAAACCTATAACAAGTTAGTGAAGACTTTTCAACGTTAACATCCTAACGATCAAAACTAAAGAATTGAAAATGTAGTAAAATATATGAAAGAAGAAAAATGAAATAACTGCAAGAGAATACTCAACATCCCATTTGTTTATTATTGATCACAAAATGTGTCATATATACACGAAGGGAGAGAGAAAATAACACAACATTCGCATATATGTAACAGAAAGAAAAAAAAACATAAATATATGTGGCCCAAAAAAAGCTAAGGAGTATAGCCCATAAAAGCCCACAAAACAAAAAGGAAAAAGAGAGCTAAGAGCCCCCCTCAAGTTGGGAATGTATGTTAATCATTCTCAGCTTGGAACAGTGACTACGAAATACACATGGCGAAAGAGACTTCGTAAGAATGTCAACTAGTTGCAAAGTAGAAGACATCGAAAGAAGCTTAAGCAGACCAGTAGAAACTTTGTCATGCACAATATGACAATCAATCTCAATGTGCTTCGTTCGTTCGTGGAAGACCTGATTGGAAGCAATCTGCAAGGCAGATTGATTATCACAAGACAAGAGAGCTGGGCTAATCGGATCAATATGAAAATCCTTCAAGAGATAGGATAGCCATTGAAGTTCACAATTGGTCGTGGCTAAGGCACGATACTTAGCTTTAGAAGAGCTACAAGAGATAGTGAGTTGTTTCTTTGATTTCCAAGAAATGAGAGAATCTCCAAGGTAGACAGAAAAACCAATTACAGAACGACGAATAATGGTGAAACTGGCCCAATCTGAATCGCTAAAAATTTTCAACTAAATTGAACTATTGATAGGGGAATCCCAGAGCCAGGAGTTCCTTTTAGATAACGAAGAATTTGAAATAAAGCTTGGCATGAGCTATTATGGGATTGGAAACATACTGACTGAGTTGTTGGATAACATATGTGATGTCAGGTCTGGTGTTGGTGAGGTATATTAATCAGCCCACAAGACGATGATAAGCAGAAGCATCAGTGAGGGGAGTGCCAGATGAAGCAGATAGATGCATGGAATAATCCATGGTGTCGAAACAAGCTCTGAAGCAAGCATACTAGTATCTGAGAGAAGATTAAGAGTGTACTTTCTCTAACATAGATGAATCCATGTGTGATTACAAGCTACCTCCAGGCCAAGAAAATACTTTAAATTACCAAGGTCCTTGATTCGAAAAGTATGATGAAGAAAAGATGTAATATGATGAATCTAGGTTAAATCATTTCTTGCAAGAACTATGTCATTGACATATATCAGAAAAACAATAGTTGTGGTAGGAGAACACTTAAGAAACAGTGAGTGATCAGAGGGGGATTGAACATATCCATGTTGAATGAGAAAACAAGAAAGACATGCATACCATTGTCTACTGGCTTGTTTAAGGCCATAAAGAGAGTGCTAAAGATGACAGACTTGACCAGGAAAAGATGGTGTAAACCCTAGAGGTAATTTCATGTAGACTTCTTCATTAAGATCACCATGTAAAAATGAATTATTAACATCAAGTTGCTTCAAGTGCCAATTATGAATAGCTACTAAAGAAAGAAGAAGTTGAACAGTGGTTAATTTAGCAACAGGGGAAAAAGTGTTGAAGAAATTGAGACCTTCCATTTGGGTATACCCCTTTGCAACAAGACGTGCCTTGTATCGATCTATGAAATCGTCAGCCTTGTGTTTAAATTTATAGACCCAACAACATCCGATTGTTGTCTTGTTAGGAGGAAATGTAGTAAGAACCCAAGTATTATTCGCTTCTAATGCAAAAATCTCCTAATGCATTACTTTAAACCAAGAATCACTTTTGGAAGCTTCAACAAAATTCTTTGGCTCAGTAACAAAAGAAATGGATAAAACATAGTGATGAAAAGAAGGAGAAAGATGACCATAAGAAAGAACAAAATGAAGAGGATGAAAAATACTTGTGGAAGAATTGGTACCAGTTGATGTAAAGTCACCATGAAAGTCCTTAAGATGTATTGGTGGTCTGTGAGGATGTGTAGAGCAGCGAAGAATAAGAGGAAAAGAATGTTGTTCAGGAATAGGGGAGTTAGAGGATGCAGTAGTTGTGGGAGAAGGTAATGGGGAATAATCATCATAAGTGTAATGAATGGGTACAGGGTAAGAAAAAGAAGAAGGAGAATAAGGCTCAGTGAAAGAAGGAAAATGATCTTCATGAAAAATAACATTGCGTGAAACTATAAGACCGTGAGTGTGAAGGTTGAAAAGGAGATAACCCTTAGTGTAAGGCTTAAAACCAAGGAAGATGCAAGGATGAGCACGGGGATCTAGTTTGATTTTATGAGAGGTAATGGTACTTGTTGAGATTCATGGAGTAGTGAATCAACTCTGCCCTGGAGTATGAGCGTTTTGATAATAACAAAGGATGGATTCTGAGACTTGAAGCTGACCAAGGAAAAAAAAAAGTAAAGAAAAAGATATGAATATCATGATGTGTAATAGGAGTAGCTTATAAGTTCTTATGTGTTGTATTGTTTTGATTAGCTTATTCTACATGTGTATGCTTTGTGCATGAGTTAATTAATCTTAATCTAATTGACTGAGAGTGAGTATGATGATGATTCAAAAATACTTGGAAAGATTTTTGAAGTATAAAATTGAGTTTTTGAAAGCTAACTCAAAATAATCGATTATCATTAAGTGTAATCGATTATTCCAGCAACAGGTGAAAAGATCCTTGTTGTAATAATCGATTATCTGTGAAATAATCAATTATTCCAGGAAGTACTCTCTGGAATAATCAAATATCTTGCGAAATAATCAATTATTCTGTTCTTGAGTGGCTTCTAGAAAATCATGAAGAACAAAATAATCAATTATCCTTTAAAATAATTGATTATCTAGATCTGATAACTTTATAAATAACTTTCACACTTTGAAACTTTAGAAGTGAGATGAACTGAGAATCAAAAAGAGAAAAATTGATATTGTGAAGTCTTTTGTGACCTTCTTGGAGTGTTTTCTTTGTGAAACCAAGAAGAAAAACATTTTATGAAATGCTTTAAAAGACATCATCATCATCACTACATTCTTGGGAGAGGAAGATTAAGATTTGTTTGGAATTCACAGTCTGATTTGTTCAGCTTCCAAGTGAATTCGTTCCTTCAATTCTTTGTGTAAAGTGTAAGGAAAATCTTGAGTAGGTGTCTCAAGTGGTAAGGAATTCTTGTAGTGGGTTTCTACAAGAATTGCTTTCTTGGGGGCAAGGAAGTGGTTATCTTGAATGTAGTATATACATGTGTGATATGCTTGTAAAACTTCTTCATTGAGATAGTGGAACAAATCTTGATCAGGTTATGATTGAGGACTGGATGTAGGTCACATGTGGAGTGGCTGAACCAGAATAAAATACTCTTGTGCATTCTTCTCTCACCCTTATCTTTTACATTCAGCAAAATCTTGATTGAGTGTTAAAGTGGTTGATCTTGATTAATATGTTTGTATGCATAACATTGCTTTAAACTGAATCAAAGTATTGCATATTAGTTGTTCTTAACATTTAACTTAATCAAGATTAATCAAGAATGCATATAGGACTCATTCCATTGGCAAGTCTTTCAAGGAACCTCTTTGAGAATTCATATTAGAAAAGTTTAAAATTGAAATAAAGATCCTTATAACTCTGAAAAAAATTTTGTGTCATAGAATCCAATTTCCCCCCCCCCCCGTCTTGGATTGAGCCATTCTTTTCTAACGATTGGTATCTAGAGCAAGGTTCTTGAGTGTTAATCAAGATTTCAAAAATGGCCAATAGCAACCTACCTTATGGTGAGGGTGTTTCTATTCATAGACCTCCTGTTTTCAATGGTGAAAACTATGTCTATTGGAAAATTAGGATGAGAATTTTCATTGAAGCAATTGACATTGCTGTGTGGGATGCAATTGAAAATGGACCCTATATCCCTATGACTAAAGATGGTGATGGAAAGAGAGAAAAACATTGGAGTGAGTGGAGCGACGATGAGAAAAAGAGAGCTCAATATGACTATAGAGTAAAGAACATAATAACATCTGCATTGTCCATTGATGAGTTTTTTAGAATTTCTCAATGCAAGTCATCTAAAGAAATGTAGGATACATTGCAAGTTACTCATGAAGGAACAAGTGATGTAAAAAGATCTAGAAAGCATACTCTTATAAGAGAATATGAATTGTTGAGAATGAATCATGGTGAATCAATTTCTGATTTTCAAAAACGGTTTACACACTTGATAAATCACCTTGTTGATCTTGGCAGGAAATTTGAAGAAATAAAGATCCTTAGAACTCTGAAATTTTTTTAGTGTCATAGAATCCAATTCACCCCCTTCTTGGATTGAGCCATTATTTTCTAACGGTACTGCTATAACATAAACATCCAAACACACGGAGTGTGGAAATATTGCATGGGTGGCCATAAAGTTTTTCAAAAGGGGAAATATTATGCAGAAAAGGAGTAGGAATGTAGTTGATAAGAGAAGTAGCATGCATAAGAGCAAAACACCAAAAAATAGAAGGTAATTTTGCTTGAAAAAGGAGAGATCGAGTCATGTTTAAAAGATGTTGGTGTTTTCTTTCAACGATGCCATTTTGTTGAGGGGTTTCAAAACAAGTGGTTTGATGAATGATTCCCTTAGAGAAAAAATATTGTGTCATGGAAAATTCTAAACCATTATTAGTGTGTATCACTTTAACACGCTTATCAAGTTGTGTTTCAACCTTAGTAATGAAGTTCATGATGTGATATCAAGTTTTTGATTTATTTTGCATAAGAAATAGCCAAGTAAACGAGTGTGATCGTCGACAATGGTTAAGAAATATTTATGTCCATGCATAGAATTAACAGAACAAGGCCCCCATATATCCATGTGTAAAAGATCAAAAGGTTGCAATGCATGTGAATTACTTAAAGAAAACGAGAGTTTCTTTTGTTTGGCATGATGACAAATGTTACATGAAAAAGGTTTATCAACAAACAAAAAAGGAAAAGATTGCTTCATCAATTGTAAATGTTCTTGGGATAAATGGCCCATGCGAAAATGCCACAAGTCGATGGGTTGGATGCTACACTTAGGGTGACCAATAACAGAATTGGTGGAAGGAGTATGAATGTTGCTGGTAGTGAAACTGTAGAGTCCTCCATTTACATCAACTGTACCAATCTTTTTCATGGTGTTCGCTTCCTAGATGACGCAAGAATGATGATCAAAAATGAGTTGACACGGTAGAGAGGAAACTTATTTAGAAATAGAAATGAGGTTATAAGTAAAATCTGGAATATATAAAACATCAACAAGATAGAAAGAGTTAGTGAACTTAACAATACCAGAATGGGTGGCTAACACATGTTTCCCAATAGGAAGCTTAACATCAATGGGATTAATAGGTGAAAAAAAAATGGGAAAGAGAAGAAGAAACATGATCTATAGCACCAGAATCCAAAATCCAAGAGGAAGAGGGATTAGAGATGACAAAGCAAACAATAGGAAAATGAGTACCTAAAGAAGAAGAAGGTTTTGTATAAAAAGAAGAGATAGACCCGATTTGGTTGACACAAGGATTTGTATAAAAAATGAGTTCCAGTAGTGGATTGTTAAATTAAAGCAAGCAATGCTTGATACTGTTGAGGGGTGAAACGAACATCATGGTGTTCAAAGGATTGAGTACACTTAGTGAGTTTTCAATCACCAGTCACACTGTGTGATTGACACTTGCAATTTTATCTAATAAAGGCTTAGAGCCAGGAGAAAACCATGTTTCTAATAACAAACTTCAATGGTATGACCAGTTTTTCCACAATGAGTGCAAATGCGTCGGGGCCAATTAGAGGAGCCTTTATTGTTTCGATCGGTTGTAGAGGGAAAACCATGTTTACGGAAGCACATTGCCTCAGTGTGTCTGGTCTATTTGTGGTAAGTGTAGGTGGATGGTGTAACAACATTAACAGAGGAGGTTCGATCAAGATGAACATTAGCAATGAAGTTCTGACCAAGAAGTTGGCGTTCCTACTGAACCATATAAGAGAATATCATAGAGATGGGTGGTAGAGGGTCCATTAGAAGAACATGGGATTTCACATTATTATATTGATCATTCAATCCACGAAGAAATTGCATAGCCTAATCTTCGAGTTTGCGCTAAGCAATACTGGTGAGAACAGAACAGGCACATTTGATGGTGCAGGTACAAGTAGGATCAGGTCTGAAGTTTTCTAACTCATCCCATACGATATGAAGCTTCATGAAATATTTCGTTACAGATAAATCACCTTGTTTGAAAGAGGAAGCCTCAAGTTGCAAATCAAAGACACGTAGAAGATCACCTTGTGAGTAATGTGTTTTGAGATCTTTCCAAATGTCATCAACCTGATCCATCTAGAGGATGCTTTGACGAATGAAGGAGAAACCGAATGCACCAGCCACGACATGACCATGTTGTTGCAGCGACGCCATGCCAAGTAAAGAAGATCTATCTTGAGAGGAGGTGGAGCACCACCATCAATGAATTCGACTTTATTCTTTGCACTAAGTACCGTAATAAATGATCTACTCAATAAATGATAATTTGTTGAATCGAGAACAAGAGATATAAGAGATGTAGCTGAATTCTCACTAGGATACAAGTAAAGAAAATTATGCACATCAAGTTCTCGTTCATTGTCCATAGTGACTTGAAAAGGAAATAGTGCAAATGAAATGTTATGTTATATAAAAGAAAATATTATTAAATAATATAAAATAGTTAAATTTATTTATATTTAAGAATAAGTAATACATGTTTTTTTTTTTACTTATAGAGAAAAGAGGGAATAGGTAGTTTGTGCCTAATAGCTTACTAATATAAAGGCTTGTGTAATCATTTTGTGAAAAACTTTATATTCAATGTTATAGCATTTTCAATGTCTTCCAATTTATCTCCTTTTTTTCCTTTGAAACCATCTTTCCTAACACTGGGAGACTATAGAGTAGAAGCAGTGGGTGACATAGCAAAGAAAAGAAAGCATGAGTTGTTTGGTGACGTATTTATAAATGTATTATTTTTGTTATGAGCATTTTAGTTTTATGTACTTGGAACCTTATGTATTTGAGCTCAAATATCTAATACTTGTATTTATCCATTTTGAACATATATATAATGAGCCGAAAACATACAAACTCGTGGTGCAATGCCAAACAAATTAAGAAACGAATGATGTTATCATTTTTCAGACATTGTTGATGTAATTTTGTAGACTTGTCAAAACTGGGCTAAAATTTGTGAATTAACTCACTCCGTTTGAGTCAAATTAAGTCAATTTTTTTATTTATTTATTTCAGTTATAAATTTTTTTTGATGCAACTTACTTACAACCTAACTCAGGATAAGTTAATTAATGGTGAGTTGAGTTGACTCATCTAATATATATTTATATTTTATTTTTTAGATTCTCAAATATTAATTTATATGATTATATATTTATATCATTAACTAAATTTTGTACATACTAATTGTAAACAATTTGATATTATTTGTCAATATTTTATGCAACAACTTTAATTTTATAAGTTGATTAAGTTAGTTGTGAATAATATATTTTTTTTTACATTTTATTTGTCCTATTTGTTAACATAGTTATAATTCTAAAATATAAAAACATAATAGATATCTTATTGAAAGTTCAATAGTCTTTTTATTTTTTATAATTTAAGCGAGTTAACTCATTTAACCCATCAACATATAGTGAAGTAAGTTGGATTGATTTTTCTTAAAACTCATCTAAAAATAAGTTAAATTGGTTTGGTTCACCTATTACCTAATCTTAGTATACGAGACCGAATCAGAATAAATTATCTACTTTAACAACTCATAATTACGAGGTAACAAGAATGAAAGTCTCTTGAATACTTTTCCTTATGCAAAGATCATTTGGTATCACCATATTCTACACAAAAGAGGAGCAGTTCATGAACCCATTTGAAAATCATGCCCCAATTTCTAAAAGCAATCATTCTCTCATGCCACTACTTGCATGTTTATTTATCAAGTAGTAATGAATTTTCAAATGCAATATGAATATTAGAACACATAAAGCAAGCATACCTGGTTGTTTTGGGTGAACTTTCCACTTTATAGAGACCTCAACCAGTCCAAAATTGTAAGATCCACAACTCCAACAACTTGCACAATCACCCTAGATAAGACAAATTTGGATAATATCCATTTACATGAATCTAAACATGGACATTTTGAATTAGTCACATATCTCGTTGGCATAGTACACAATATTGAAATTTAAAATGTTGCAATTCACATAGTACATGAATCTGCACAGAGTTCCGAAGACATACATCTAAAGATAGAATAAAATTGTATAATACATTACAATCCATTTAAGATTTTCTTAAAATGCGAGTCCAAGTCTAAATCCCACAAATGAGGATTTCCACAATATAGAACTCTCTTTGTTTTTACTTCACTTGAAACCTTTATGCTTCTAACAATATCAACATAATTAACATCAAGATAAAACATCGTTTGAGACTCAGAAAATGTAAGTAGTTAACACTTTAGTTCGTGAAAATAAGAAAATTATGAATAAATTTCTGAAAGTTCTAATTATTTTATATAAGTCTCTAAAAGTAATCATTTGTTATCATTTTAATCTTAAAATATACATTAATATTATAGTTTAAGTTACATACATTTTATATTTTGGATTAAAATGAATAACATTTTACACTTTCAAAAATTCTTTCTAAATTTTTATACTTTAGAGTATAGTATTAGTAACATACACTTTTAAAGAGTGAAATGATGTTTTTTACTCATTAAAATTATATCAAACAGAGTGGTATATGTATAAATAATTCATTTTCTAGGAACTTTTTCTACAAGGTGTGAGTTTAAATTCTTATAGAAGATTACTGTAAACACTAAGAATCAAAATTTTATCAAGGCGTTAGAACATAGGAAGGAACTATGGGTAGAAAACGTTTTGCTAATAATAAAAATTAACTTAACAACATTCCAATTCAAGCCTTACGATGAAACATTACGGCGATTTTTTCCCCTTGTTTTCTACCCAAATATACTAATTAACGGTAGATAATTAAATAAACCAGCATCAAAATCTAGGGGCAGAGCATGAACATTAATAACACAATTCATTCGTCATCTACAAATTAAAACCCTAATCAGAAGCTTTAAGAAAATAATCCCCAATCCGAAGCATCTAACGAGCCATTTCGTATTATTAAAAATAAATCCGAGTTACTCATTGAAACTTTGCTATTTAGAAGTTGAACATGATCATCTTGTCAATCATCGTGCTGGGATATGGCATACATTAAAGGGTTATTATGAGGATCAAACGAGATGTGATCAATATTGTTATTTTCTAGCTTAAATTAAAAATGCACGTAAAATCTTAAAATTTTTCACCACATCAACTTCAATGTTACTTTTAATAGCCATACATTTATTTATTTAAACACAATGATCTGTATTTTAGTTATCAAATTCGCCTATCTCTAGTCCTTCATACCAATTCACGAGTACCAAATCTTCATACCTTCGTTTGTTATTTGGAAATCCGTTTGGCAAACTAAGTTAAAAATAAATAAAAATTGGAAGAAGTGAAAAATAGAAAAAAATGAAGAAGAACCACTTGCCATGGATGATCGTCGTGCTTGACCTCAAATACAATTCCATTGATGGAGGGAAGGAAGAAGAAGACACAATAGCCCATCACTCAGTTCCATAACAAAAGAGAAAATGTGGTTTAGTTTTCTAGAATAATAGACTTATTTAGGTTTTGGAGTTTTGACCCTTTCAATCAATCGACTCGTGAAAAATTATCGAAAAGAAAATTTACATTTATATATAAAATTGCAAAATTAGTCGTAGATGTAACAGTCTTTTTCATATTATTTTCTAGTTTAAAATATAGAAAACATAATAATTTTTCTTTTTCATATTATTTTCCAGTTTAAGTATCTTTTACGGGAGATGGAGAAAATAATAAAATAACTTATAATTAGTTTCATAAAAAAATTATTTTAATTTATAAAAAAGAAGGCTACATTTTATTATTATATTTCATATTTACACCCAGGCATCATCTAGAACCTAGAAGACAAAATTGCTTTGTGGGTGCACATGCAGTTTTGTGATTCATCATGCCCACCATAATAGCAACAAAAGCTTATGTCACGCAGTCCATGAGACCCATTCTATTTCGTTGAACAACCTTATCTAATTTACAAAATAATTTTAATTTTAACAATTAAAAAATGATTATCCACCTTTGATTATTCAATGATTAAATCAAACAGGTATATTTATCTTCTCCACCCAAATTCATGTGAAAAACTTCCTCTAAGTGGCCTGGTCTTTAAAAGTTAAAGTAGAAGAAGAAGACATATTTTTGGTTATGAAGAAGACATATTTGAAGTTAAATAAAATATACAAATTTTAATAGGATGTGAAAATATTATTATAAAGCACAAAAAAATTATTATGATTGCTATTTTTTAAAGACAAGTGATATCAATTATATTTATATTTATTTTGTTGAGACTTTATATGCAATGCTAGTTATATGTATATTTTTTTTATTTAAATAAGTAATACAATAATTTTAATTTGAAGATATATATATATA